GGTATGCCACCCCGGCCACAAAAAGTTCAACCTTTCATTATGTGGTGCACGTGCACTCAGAACTGCCCCCTCTCCCCTCCTCCCCTCTCCCATCACCAGGTCAGTCCCCTTGACTCTCCCCTCCCTTTTAATTGTATTCTGCCCTCCACCCCACTCAGCCTCTCATTTCCCCCATCTACTCCCCCCCAACACACCACATCCAACTCATCCTCTAATTCCACAAGAATCACAAAAATAGATTTAAAAAAAAGACCTTGGCTTTTTTCTTCCATTTTTAAGCACAGACTTGGTGGGTCGCTTTATGTTTTGATTTAGCGTTTTCACCTGTGATGGCGGCTAATGAGGGAGGCCTGACCCGCATGTAGTTGCAACTGAGAATGGAGAGGGTCCACACTGCTAAGGGTTCTGATCCGCTCCCCACCCTCACCTCATTACCAGAGGAGGTGGGCTGGGAGGCAAAGAAAAGAGAGAGAGAGCGAGAGCAAGTGAGAGAGTTGATGATTAGGAGTTAGATCACACTCACATATATACACACACACACATTCATAAAAACACACCACCTACGCCAGGGCCCGATCGTGGCACAGGCAACATATTCGGTTGCCTTGGGTGCAAAATGTCAGTGGACCCCAGAAAGAGTTCCACGAACATAACTTTATATATCCTGGTTACAGTAACAACATTATCAACGCTAGAATGGCACTCTGAGGGCATACCGAGGCAACAGTCCCCTTATGAAACCACATTTAAATTAACTTTATTCAGATTTTTTTAATTGGATCTGCACCAAATTGCACACACTCACAAATATCAGTCTCTTGAAAGATCCATGAATTATTACTCTGAGAAATCATGGGAAATTATATCTGTCAATGTTTTTAAAAAAAACCTAGATCCTCTCCATGATCGGGATCAGCACTCAAATAGACTTGTTTCCTGTCTTACACATACTGCATCTTTCCACAAAGTTTTGTGATAATCCTCACAGTAAAATTTGCTTAAAAACTAAAACAAAACAAAACAAAAAAACAAGTGAGAGATACTTTCTTGATCCCAAGGAAAATTTAGGAAGAAAATTTTACCCCGTCCCTGGGTGGGCTTGAACCACCAACCTTTCGGTTAACAGCCGAACGCGCTAACCAATTGCGCCACAGAGACTGCGCATGTGTGGAATCATAACCTTTTAATGAATGTGGCCAAAACTGGGACCTTACACTGACTGTCTCTGGGTGTATTCGTTTTTATGACTGCAATTTTATTCTGCGTGGAATCACTGCTTCTTTGCTTCTCCAAAACAGCATTTGCAGCACTGTATGTTACTGTACTATTTAAAACTCAATTCAGCATTATGTATCGACAGACACGTCCAGTAATTTTAAGTAACATTACAGTAGCTTTTCTATCACTGTGATAGGAAACAAACTCATGACAAATACACACTCATGTCACAATTGCTCACTTGCATGAACTGACACTAGAGTGCATTCACTTCCCATTGCAGTCAAATTGACACAAACACATATTTCATATACACACACAGTCAAATCAAATGTACAGACTCTCTTGAAATACCCAGTCCACACACACTATATACATCATCTTCCCCATCTCCTCCTGGATTACAATTCACGACAGACCTATGCTGTTCTAATGAGGCCAGGGAGAGGCCAGCTGGACACCACTGATCCTTCACCTCCCTCCTCCCTCTCCATCTATACCTCTCCCCATCCATCCACCCACGCACACACCCATCCTTCTGTCCCCACAAGCCCCTGGCTGCCCCACAATCCTGCTCTGCATACAACCATTAGCACCCTTCTACCCCTAACCTTCTGTCTCCCTGCACCCTATACCTCCTCCCACCTTCTCCTCCCCCTCTCTCAGTCCCTCTCTCATGCTTGTCTTTTTTTTTGTCTACCCTCTTTCCTGTCCATCTTTTTCCCTTAGCACCTGTCACTATTCCTTTCACTTTTCCTTGTCTTCCCATCGCTGCTGTTTTTTTCCTCTTTACCTTCCTCCATCGCCTCTTTCTCATCTCCTCTTACCTGTCACTGTCTTTCTCTTCCCATCTGATTGTCTCTTTACTCCCTTTATCTATCCATCCCTCTCTCTGTCGCCACCCTCTTCTCTCTCCCTTCCTCAATGCAAGTTTGTTTATGCGAGTGTGTGTGTGTGTGTGTGTGTGTGTGTGTGTGTGTGTGTGTGTGTGTGTGTGTGTGTGTGTGTGTCAGCATTCAGCACCTCAGTGGAGACGGGGTTTATTGGGGTAATGCATTTATCACTGCTGCAAGCCAGGGCCTCACCTCTTTCTTTGAGCCAGTGAGTAATGAAAATGGGATCACTTCTGACAACACTCTGCAACACACACACCCACACACAAACACACAGACCTGCACAAATGCACTCCTGTGCACACACCCACAAAACACAAAAAACGCATATCCCTGCATGCCGCCACAAAATGCTCCGATTTAACGCACAAGATAAAACATAATATCACCTATGCAACTCTTGACAAAACCAAAATATCCTGACAAAATCAAACATATGGAAAAAATGCAATAGTTATTGATGATTTAGTAAAAACTCCAACAATATTTTCTAATTTATCTCATGTCGTGGTATCTGTTGCCTTATTGTATGGAAAATCTTGAGTAAATCCCAAAAGACCATGAGACCCATCTGCTAACAATATTGACCAATAGAATCTAGATATTTAATCTCTGCTCAATAAAACAGAAATACCAAAGTAATCACAGTAAAGAAAGTCACTCTTCATTTCTTCCTATATTATGAAGTTTGAATTCCACTAATGGACTTCAGAGTCTTCAAAATACTGAAACACCATTGTCCAAGAGTGCTAACCAGACATTTCATGTGGAATTGAAAGGCAACATCTTCAACCACTTCAGCTATGGTTATCCAAGTAGAAAAAAAAATCAGGTAAGGATCAAGTGTTAATGGCCAGGGGTGCTTGTCTAATCCCATTTGGTCTGGCAGTGTTGGGAAGGTGGGGGCTGGTCTTCACCAGTTTAAAACAATATCATCAACACAGGTATTCCAGCAGGGCCCTGATTGGCCTTGACAGAACAAAACATCGCCGCAGAAAACAACGCGAGGACCTCCCACTAAATCAAACTCGAGAGGACAAGGTCAGATCAGCAGTGGCATTAAGTATAATCTTAGAAAACAAACTTTAAGCTGCACCCATAAACAGTGCTTTCTAGCAGAGGAGAACGCTGCTAATACACCAAGTGGTGCGTGGAGAGCTTAAGTCAAAAGACTGCTGACTAATGTGCCGAAATGGTTGGAAATACTGTGGTATTGCAGATGGCAGAGGTATTTGTTATTCATATGGCCCTCAAGGTGCAACCACAAGGCTTGCATGAAAGTGTGTGCCTGCGTGTGCATGTGCAGATGTCTATGGGTGTATGCTTTTGTGTGTGTGTCCTGTGCTCCATCCGCAGTGCTGAGGATGCTATTAATGCTTGCTGCTGATCGCCCTCCCACATTTAAATAACAATAGTGCAGTCAGAGAAAGCATCGGTGTGAATCCAACCCGCAAAACACCCAGGAGCTACAGGCCCTGACTCCTGTTGTGTGCATGTGTGTGTGTGTGTGTGTGTGTGTGTGTGTGTGTGTGTGTGTGTGTGTGTGTTWGTGTRTTTGTGTATATGTGTATATGTGTATATGTGTGTGAATGTAGGTGCACAAGCTTGTGCTCAGACGTCCACATACATGTGAGTCTGATAAAAGAAGGAGACAGTGAGGAGAGTAAGGAAGACAGTAAGAGAGCAGGAGACAGGCTGCAGCAGAGTCACTGTAGCTGCTATCAGACACACACTGAACTCCAAATATCCTCCTGAATTTATCCAGCGGGGCAGCATGTCACAACGCAAATGTCCAAATCAGTTGCTCCTGCTATTCTCTGGAGTTCATCCTGGCAGCCCCCTAGAGTGAGGGCGTGTTGATTACATTTCTAACAAGCTGCAGACACAAAATTGACAAAAGAAACAAACAAGAAGAATACAAATATCTAAGGATGAAAAAGAGGTGCCATACACGTAGAAGATGCAGAAGAGGATGTCAACTTGAAAAGCCAACGAGATTCAAGAGGCTTTTGATATGCATAGAAATTATTTGATGAGAAAATGCAGTTCTACAGAACCACTGAAAAGTACTATTGACTCTAGAATCTTCTGTGGATGAGCTTCCTGTCTTTTAAAATCATAGAGATCATCAAGCACAGCAACATGCATGGAGAGATCAATCAAACACGAAGCCAAGATCGAGGAACAGGATTATTAAATTACTACCTACAGGACACATGTTTTAGTCCAGTGAAACATCTGCAAACATGAAGCTGGACTGTGGGAATAAAGCAGAGCACCCATGCCAGGGTTTCTGCTGGTTATAAAACTTTTATGATCTATTTCAAGTACAACAGATACAAAGAAAAATATCTAGTCCAAGAATTAGTTACACTTTCCAATAATTTAAGATGAATTAGAGTAGTATCAAATAACCCTTAATATTCCACAACCTTAACATAGTTAAGAATTACTTAAACATAATTTGAGACCTTTTATTTTATATTTTAATGTATTTAAGACTTATTGAGAAAACTGGCAGGTGAAATAAACAACTGGAGATTTCTTAAACAGAATAAAGCTAGAATCCATTTCAATCCAAGACAAACCTGTGATTTACTACAAAGCAAGGAGGGAACACATTGAAGGGCACCAAGAAATAACCAAAAACAGGTATTTTTCCACCACTGACATTTGAAAACACAAAGATATATAACAGAAAAAAGCTCAAATGACATGATGATGACTCCAGACCACTGAGTATGTCACGAAGCAGCATGAACACCAGCAAACTGACCTGAATTCAGCCATCATCAGCAAATGTATAGCTACACCTGTGACTCTTCTGTCCACCACAGCCACACACGTCAATACAAAGACAAACACAGTGTGACTTTAAAAGAAACTTACCAAAAAAAGCCTCTTGTTGTCTGTAGATGAATAAAATCCAGTGTTCTGAGCTCAAGTGTTGGTAACCGTCCACCTGGTGTTAGCCTGAGCTGAGGATTAAACTAGCTGCTCTTGAGCTCAACGGCTAACCAGCTAACATCACATCCACCACTCATGTTATCTAATTAGCGGCGAAACAACCGCAACATAAGCTTGAGGAGCTTCACACAGGTGTTTGAAACTCACCGGAGCTAACGAAGCTAGCTCACGCAGACGTCACGCAGTCTTAAACATGCGCGCAAAATTGCGCCCGAAGGCGCCACAGGTCAAATATGGCGGCGACGTCGACGTAACGACGACAGCGTAGGTTTGTATTCACAAAAACGTTTTCCGTTTGAGATGCGCACTTGTCGCCTCCCGCGCGCGGGACAGGTGGACAGTACGGGATCACATCAGGGTCAAAAAGAACCGGTGCTCAAATAATTTTAACTTTATACCTGAAAACTAAAATCACCAGTGATATTAAAGTTTGAACATGTGTGAATAACAATTGAAAAAAAAAAACAATTGTTTGTGGATACTCTTGGTTCAATCTTTACAATTAGAATCAGAATCTGATTTTATTGCCGAGCAGGTTTACACATACAGGGAATTTGCTGTGGTGTATTTGTGTAAAGAATTTAAAAATAAGACACAAAATTAAATATAAAAATACTATAAGCACCATGGGAGGGATTGTGCAAAACGTTGTGAGTCATCACTGGAGACTGGATTGTGCAAAGTACAGTCTAGTGTGTGATTTTCCACCACGGGACGTTAAAGTGTCAAACAAGTTAATTATAAATACAGCCTAAAGATAAGAACTTAATGTCTTCTTTGTGTTTGTCAGGCTAACTCATATTTTTGATATGATAATGAATAAATCTTTATTTCTATAGCATTTTTCAAAAACAAGTTTACAAAGTGCTTCACAAACAGAAACTGAAAAATAAGAGGATCAGCGACATAAGAGGGGGCAATGAAAAGCCTATGTTGTAAATTCTAAATTCTAAATTTTAGATTCTAAATTCTAAATTTACATAAGGAGACCTACAAAAAAGCTTTATTGGCAGACCTATACCATGTTGTACAAGGTTTTGATTTAATGTGTTTAATTATGTGTGTTGTATGCAATGCTATTTACCTTTACACTCACATTTACATTATATCAAAATAATGAGTCTCTCTGACCTTTAGACAAACAGCAGCACACTTCTCAGAGCAGTGAGCTTCATGCACGTCAGACAGTTTAGCTGTGGCCAGGTGATGAGGCGCCTGATGACGTCAATTCTGCATGGACATGTAAGAAGTGTGTGTACTTTTGTGTTTCTTTCTACGTGCAAGAGGCATTAAAAAAAAGAAATGGAAAAAGTGTTACAGAGAGAGTAAAAACAAAATGTAAATAAAATAAGAAATAAAATAGTGAAAGTATAATCACACACACACACACACACTCCTTCCCTCCCTCTCTCACTCAGATACTACCTTTCTGTCACACTTCCTGTCACTGAACACCCACTAACTAGCATGTGCATTCACACAGAAATATACACACTGACATACACACTGTATATTGTCTTTATGAGCACACATACACACATCCCATTCAGATTCTATGAAGTTGAAGTCACAACATAGTGAAATAAAACATTAAAAAAATACAGCTCACAAAGATAAATCACAGAAATTCCCTGATGTCCTTTTGAAGGCTGTCAGCAAATAAAATAAGAATATGTATAAACTCCTCTCCACCTGCATCTTCTTTTATTTGTCCCGTGATAGGCCGCAATTTGATGCCTAACATGCGGCACACATGACAAGTACAGGAGAGAAGGGAAGCAAAGTAAAAGTGAGTTGCAGCGGGTGTAGATGAGTGGAAGGAGTTTTTGGAAAAAAAGAAGACAGAGACAAAAAGAGTGAGAGGCTGAGTCTAATAAGAACCAAGAGACGGCGTGCTGGTATCTTGTGGTGCCATTTGAATACAGGGCAGCAGCAGCTGGAGTCTGTGTTGAACAGCTCTGCACTTCACACAGCATCACCATCAGGAGAGCATAGCGCTGGTACTACTCTGCTGGAGTCTTACACTGCTTCACTCACTCCCACAGACCAGCCTGTGTGTGTGTGTGTGTGAATGACTTGGAGCTCCATGGTTCTCATTACTCAGCCACTGTAATGTGCTCGCCTTTCGAGCTCACCGTACTGGGGCTGGTGTTTCCACTGTTGGCTCACAGAAAAGGAAAGGACTGGCCTCACCTCTGTTCTGAATGCATTAGCACACCTCGCATTTTCAATCTGGACTTCAGCATTGGCTCCCCTGCTGAATAGTAACAGAGTATATGCATGCAAGTGTGTGTGTGTAAGAGAGAGAGAGAGAGAGAGAGAGAGAGAGAGAGAGAGAGGGGTTGCAGCAGAGTTTAAAAATACCCATACTCCTGTTCAGTGCAGATAAGTTGTGTTATGAGAAACTACCGGGGCAGAAGGCTGGGTCATTAGCATGACTCCCAGATTGAGAGGTAGAGAGGAAGGAAGGACGGAAGCAGAGAAGGAAGGAATGAGGGAAGAGAAAAAGGAAGAAACAACACCCAAGTTTCTAAAGTTTAATTTTGAGGGAAACACCCAGTCACTTCCACACATGATTAGATGAGATAAGATAAGATAAGATAATATAAACATGTAATATACAATGTCGTGCACAGGATGATTAAGGATGTATACTGAATCTGTGCATTACATATGAGGAGATATTGAAAATAAATGGATAGATATATGCATTTATAGACTAATAGGCTGGTATGGTATACAATATGAACATAAGTATTGATATTCCAACTTATTCTATTTCATATTTCTACTACTAGATACTAGATAGAGATTTAACATTACAAATAAGAGTCAAAAACAATTTGAAAGTTTTTTGTTAGTGACCCATTGAAAAAAAATGAGTGTCTGGTTTATCTAATATTTTCCCAAAATGCAGGTACAAGTACAAAATTTTTTAAATTTTAGATTTTTTAATTCATTTCACCTCTTCTGTGACCCTTTAAACACACCTGACTTCTAGTTTGAGGACCAGTTGAGTGAGTCACCTGCAGCTGAACTTTCATCACATCAATGCACAAGACAAAATGACCAATCAGATTGTTGTGAATTCTTCTTCTACCACTACTGTCCACTGTTCCTACACTCAGTTCTGATGTTCTTATTGCATCTCTGTATGTTTTATAAGTGACTTCATTTGAAACAAATACCTTTAATCTTACATGCGTGCCACAGTTGTGTGTGACCTGAGGATCCCTGTTTCTAATGTTGCGTTGCAGTACACACTAATCCCCCTCAGTCTCTATACACAGCGTCCACTCCATCATCTGTGAGTCCACTCCTGGCCAGAAATTCTCAGAGGCCTTTTTGACAGCCATTAGTCTGCTGCCCAGAACCGTTCAGCACCAAGCAGGCTGTTTATTGTTTTAATAGCAGCTGCTTCAGTATTCTCTGTGCTGCTGTTGCTCCCTTTAGGAATAACAAAACAAAAAAATAAAACGCGCATGTCTAAAGGACATGTCTGGGCTGTAAAGAGAAGACATTAAAAAAAGCCAAACATTAATGGGAAAAAACGAATACACTCTTGTGAAAGACTCAATGCTGAATTTAGGTCAAGGATGCAAGAGCAAGAATGGTCATTGTTCTTTTGCACTAATATTTACTCAGTCGTTAAACCCCACTTCCATTCATCTGTCTACTAATTCCATAAATATCTGTCTGTCTGTATGTGGCTCGTTTATCTCGAGAACCGTTCCTCTTATCAGCTTCACACTAAGTAGGCATATTTTTAAGGGCCCAAAGAAGTGCAATGTCGAATTTGGTGCAACTTGGACTGATGACAGATTCAATATTGATTGATTTCAATATACAGGTGACTTTCGTTCATGACAACAATGCGTACAACAACAACTGATTCTCGAGTTCTCGGTTCTGTGTTCTAAGTCAAGCGTCATCAAACTTTGAATAAACGAGTGAACAGCTCTTTGTGCAGCAGCGGTGGAGCAGCTTCAGGATATGTAGACAATCAGCAGTTACATCTCAGGAAGGCCATAGTTTCATATGTGATTTTTGCTGCACTTCTGCTGTGGCCGATAAAAGACGTGTGTAGTGATTTTTTTACTGTTAGCCGAGGTAAAATATGCAAAGCTGACATTTTTGGTCACTTTTCTCATGCGTTTTGTTTAAAAGGAGATGTGAACATGTTACGTACTCACTAACAGCAGCTACCAAGCCCATGTTACTGTTTCAGCACCACCTTTACGGGTGACGAAAAATGGCCGCCTGGCTTACCACTCAGGGAAAAAAAAACATTGTGGTCACGGACAAATGCCCACACAAATTTGCAAATCTGCCACGGAAGAATTGTAGCAAAAGTCACCACTGTAAAACACCAATTGTGAGATCTGCCTGAGTTGTAACTGATGACTTGTCTGTATTTCCAGCTCTTGGAAAGAGACTTTAATCCTTTTCAGCCACTAATACCTTTATAAGCATTTGTCAAGATGTTCACAGATCTATGCAGAACACTTCCCAATCTCATTACAGATGTATTTACACGCTCAGATCTGATTACACACAAACATTTTCTGAAAACAAATTTGCAGATTCTTGTACAAATCTTACTATGCACACACAGATTGAAATACAGTTACACAACTCTGTACACACACACACACACACACAGAAATAATATTGCTACAATACCATTGAAAGTAGGACAATGACCTGTTTTTCTTCAGCACTCTAAAACTGGGACCAAGCTCTTACGATACCTCTCTCACCAAACACAAGCACAACAGCAAGACACAAAGTGATTACAACATCACAACTTTCCGGTTTCTTCTAGAACACTAATGAGCAAGCAAGTAAGAAAGAGAGAGAGAGAGAGAGAGAGGGAGAGAGAGAGAGAGTGAGAGAGAGAGAGAGAGAGAGAGAACCCTGATTAGTCTGGCAGCATCAGTGTCAGACACTCAGCAGGGTGTCCACAGCTCAGTGTGTTTTTCCGTGTGTGTTTGTAATGTGTATATCATTCGTAAGGCTGCCGGTCCCTGCTCTCTCTCTATGTGTTTTTTTTTCATGCCATCCCTCTCTTTCACACTTTC